AAAAAAAAAAAAAAAAAAAAACGAGAAGGAGGAGGAAGAGGAACATGAAGAGGAAGGGAGAAAGCAAGAAAAGGATGAGAGGAACAAGGAGGAAGAGGTGACCAAATAGCAGTAGTATAAGAAAATCCCATGGAGAAAGCAACCAATGCAGAGTCCCAGGGTGGGGCTGGCTGAAGGACCTCCAAGAACTAAAATGGTAAACCAAGCGCTCTGCTTCATTACTTAGCCTTCCAGCAGTTTCTGCTATACACCCAAGTGTCCCCTGGAAGCAACGTCCTGGGGACAAAAAGGACAGGCGTGTTTTCCACATCTAGTTCTTCTTGGGAGCAAAGAAAGAGCTTGCGGGACTTAGAGCCTAAATACAATAAATAAAGAGTTGGGTAGGAACCAGAAATCAACACTAGAGAAGCTACCAGTGTACGATCTCTGTAGGTATATAGGCATCCTGAATGGGTAGCTTGGTTTTTCAGCTGAATAACCAGCTTGACTATGTTTCAGGTTAGAAGTACAGGACAGAGGAAGGCAGAAAGGAGGCTATGGAGGGATATGGAGGCCAAATTTTTAGATGTTTCAAGGGTCATGCTATAAAGGTTGTACTTCATCCTACTGGCATTAGGCAGCGCTGGGATTGCAAGCATGCAGCAGCACGGCTGGTTTCGGTGGCTAGCACTCTGCACCCAGGGTTCCAAGGCTGTCATGGCATGTGGTACTGGGGACCTGGGACCTTGCACTTGCCTGGAAGGCACTTAGACCTCTGAGCTATCTCCGCAGCTCCATAGCAGGATTTTGAACCAGAGAATAATGAGCTTTGCTTTTAGGGGAGAGATGGCTACCGGGTGAGTGAAGGGCAGGGAGTAGGGAAGGAAGAGGAGTCTGCAGCGGAGACTTGTGGGGAGCAATGGTAGGGAGGATAGGAGAAAACATTAAAGGAAGTTTAATCCACAGAAGAAACAGAACTTGGCGTGATGGATTGTGTAAAGTGGGAGGGGTGCAATAGGATCAGGAATCCCCACGGGCAGAGGGTGATGTTTCTAACACACCAAGAGAAGAAAAGAAAGTACATGGTGAGAAGGTGAGGAGTCAGGTCTGAACTTGATGAACCAGAGATGCCTGGGGAAATATGGAGTGGAAGGGTGTGGAATTCAGGCGAGAGGGCTGCGCTGGACACGGAAACGTGACATAGAATGGTGGAGGTAGGAAGAAAGAGAGGCAAGAAGAGAAAAGCAGAAAGAGGGCTCTGATGATAGAGCCATAAAATACATCAATAGCTGGCTGGTGCTGTGGCATTCATGGTGGGCTCCCTCACCCAGACCCTGTGACGCATGCGCGAGCGCGCGGTCATCACATCCCTCCCAGGCCAGGCTCTTAGCCTATCCCTGTGCTGCAGATAACGAGGCAGAGGCTCCAGAATGTGCTTCTCTTTCTTTCTTTCTTTCTTTCTTTCTTTCTTTCTTTCTTTCTTTCTTCTTTCTTTTTAATTTAAGCTACATTTGCATAAGGGGTGCATAAAACATGGAATTTTTCCATGTTCCTGGTGGTACCCTGTGACGTTGTGAGGCACTCAGATCTGGGTAAACGTATCTGGCGCCTCTCACACTATCTTTGTTTTCTGAAGTCCTGGTGAGGGAAAGCGTAGCCTCACAAATCCTAGGTATCCAGAGCTCATCATTTATCGTTGCTTTAAGGTGAGAATATTCAAAACCCTTGCTTCTAGCTTTTGGAAAGATACAGTGCCTTTGCGTTATTCACGGTCACCCCCTGTACAGCAGTTAGCACAGCAGAGCGTTCCTTCCGCATAACTGTCACCTCTTACTCACTGTGTACCCCACCCCTCTCTCCCCCATGTCCAGGTGCCACCTCCTACACCTGGTAAATAACTCTGCACTCTCCACGACCGCGCCTGGCCCCCAGCTACAATATTCAGGATTATTGCGCCTTTGCCATGGTGCCCAAGGAACGGCCGTGATGCTGTGGTTTCCAGCCATCGCGTTAACTTGCATTCGTTCTGTGTTCCAAAGTAGTCAGTTTCATCTCCAAGTTTTAGCTTACTTGACATTCCCGGCGCCTATCTATTGGACGTTTGTATATTCTGCATTTTGCAGCTCGGCAGACTCAAATTTGAGATTGTTTTCCAGCACTCACCAACAGGTAGAGCCAACTGTCGTATGAGGTTCTCTACCAGGACAAAAAAAAGATGCCGGAATCCGGAGACTCAGCCACCCTGTCTTGTGGAGCTTTCTGAGCTTATTCGCAGAGCTATTGCTCCACCTAGAGGTTATTATTAGTATTACTCGCCCATCCTTCCCTTCCGCAGAATATAAGCATCTTGACAAAAAGGAAGGAAGTTTGCGCCATCATAAGGAGACCGACTGTGCTTACTTACGCAAGGAGCATTTAGTGGAGGGAAGATCTTTTAGTATTAAAGTAGATCAGGGACTGAAAGGAAGCATCAGTGTCCTGAGTTCCAGTTCTGTGCCAGGTCCCAGGTGAGGTCCCCGATAGCGACTGTCCACTATTCTGACCAAGCCTGCCCAGTGGTCATGAGCAGTTTGTAAAACAACATGTGCCCTAGAAAAGCTTTTTCATTAAAGGACCAAATAGCAAATCTCTCTGGCATATTCTTTTTATATCTGAAGCCCTTTACAGTGCACCGACCACTCTTAGATTGGCAGGTCATACACAAAAGCAGTGCAGCACAGGGCCCTGGCCCCTTTGATAGAAGACAAATTTAAGGTTGGAGAAGTCTCCCCAAAAAGAAAACGGGGGACCTGATGAAAACTATGGTGAATGTTTAGACAGAGAGATGTCTTTTTTTTTTTTTTTGCACTATTCATAACAGTTTTTGACTTTTTATGGAAAAAGTATACATGGGGTAAAACTTTGAGCAGTGTAAAGGGACATAAACCAAGCCATAAGTGTTCCCTCCTCTCACTCTAAATGACCCCGTTCTCATTCAGAGAAGCAGTTTCACTGTGCCTAGTCAATTATGTACTTGGCGGGCTCTTCTGTTCATGTACAAACAAAAACATGTTCAGTTAATTAAAATGAACCCTGTACTTGTATCTTTTGTATTTGCACGTGTGGCAGGCACTATTCTAAGTGCTTTGTGTGTGCATTTTTAGTTTATCTTCACAATAGAAGAATTCAGGGATGCAGAAAAGCCGAGAAATCCGCCTCAAGCAACAGAATTTGGGTTTGCATCCTGTTTTCTTTTTCACAGATATAGTGAGCTGAGGAGGCAACTCATTTTGTAGATGAGATTTTCACTTTCTGTCTTCCTACTATATATGAAAGCAGAACATGGCTGGAGTTTCAAATCAGTTTCATATGCTATCTAAACAACAGTCAGATCATCATCACAACCCTTGGTTGATATTTATTTTAACAGATCCCAGAACAAGGAGGGACTGAG